CTCAAATTTCATGTTTCATACATTTCTTTTGGTCATATGGCACAGTGTACATGTAAGTGATAACTAATCCTCGCTTTTTCCGCGGCTCCCCCTCCTCCTGGATGGTCATGTTCCCTCATTTGATCAGGCATAAACATATAATAAAGTAATAGAATAATAAATGAATAATAAACTAATAGACTGGTAAGTATAGTCTGATAGTTTCTAAAGAAACTGTTTGGCGCTGCGTCGGTAGGGGTAACGAAATAATTTGAATATATCAACAAAGTTGAAATGGTAAATTAGCCACCGTTACTGTTTGAGAAGTATACAACGTAAATCATATGTTAAGTACTTAGGGGTACTGATGGATAGTAATCTCTGTTGTAAATATCATATCAGCCACATCGCGTCTAAGATCAGTAGTCATATAGGTATAATATCTAGATTAAGGCATTTCACTCCCTTCATGACTTTGCTTAATATATATATAGATCTCTTATTCTTCCATATCTATCCTATGGCCTTACTGCTTGGGGACAGGCAGCCAAAACGCACCTAAACAAGATACTCCATCTTCAAAAACGAGCAGTCCGCTTGATGAATTTCTCTAAGTTGAATGTTCATGTTGTTCCACTTTTTATCTCTACCAATATTCTGCCTTTACCTTTAATCTACTTTAAAAATTGCTCTATCTTAATGCATGATGTCTATAACAAAGTCGTGCCATCTAACATTTCTGCTCTCTTTAGACCCATTAAAGATACTCATCATTATAAGAAACGATCTTCTACCGCTGGTAACGTCTGTATAAACTACTCTCGACTAAATCACTGTAAGAATTCTTTTTCCTCTATGGGCGCAAAAATTTGGAACTGTATTCCTGATGCTTTGAGACAGTTCCCAAAATGTAGTTTCAAGAAAAAAATAACGAATCTTTACTTCAAATCCTTCTAAACCAGAATTGTTATCCTGATATTGATACATTAATAAACGAAATGACAAGAAAATAGATTTCGTTAAAATAAAGAGTATTTTGAGCTTTTCCTGTTTTTAATTATGTGCTCGTGGCTTCGTAATTAGTATACCTATATTTTTGTACTCACTTTTGTAATTGACATCTATACCATTGTAATTGTTATTTATTTTTATTCATTAGAATTATATTATATTAATATGTAATTGACACGTTTCTCATACTACCTGCCTCGATTAGCTTCGCTATATTGCAGGTGGACTTAATTCATAAGTTAAATTGTTAAATAAAGTAAATAAATAAAGATGTTGTTGTTGTATAAGGTATCATGGAGTTTGGTCCTATTTTCAGTTGTTGAGGGACAGATTCAGAACTGACCCTGACTCTGACGAATTCCGAGGTAAAGCGTCTTAATGCGTCTACTTTAGTGAATAAAATACACTAATTCTAGAAAAAAATACCTGAAACAATGCTCGTTTTGGGCTTGGCCGCACAGTTTGGCTATAGAGCGATAATATGCTCCGGCATCTTCTAAACGAGAACTATTTCGTCCTCAACAAGAACTATTTCGTTCAGAAATCTGTTTTTTTCTCTGTTCAATGACCAAATTGTGGCTTTTTTCAAAGCCAGCTCTATTACTATTATTATTATTATTATTATTATTATTATTATATTACATGTCTGCTAGAGTAGTTTTCAATTGAACACCAGGCAAGTAAAGGTAAAATCGAAGCAATCCTCTCGGGTTGAAAATTGTTCTATTCCCCAAATGTAATCACTCATTCAGTCCTCCTCATTACCCTGTGGGGCATACGGCAACCATTACATTTGGTGGGTGCAATTCTATTAGATGTAATGGAGATACATGTTGGCAAGATAAAGTAGAAACAAAAAACTAATTTTCAAGAAACTTAAACGTAGTCTTAAAAGGGACGAACACCCATTGTTAATGTGTAGGCGTAAATAAGTTTGTCAACCTTTTTCCTCAACCAGGTAAAGAAACCATTTTAACCCCAACTTGTCGACGACTCCTGGTCTCTGGCTGGTGGGGCCTGGTGCGACATCCCAATTACCTGGGTGACATCATCATGGCATTTGTCTGGTCCATTCCTTGTGGTAGGTCTTGCTAATGAATGAAAAAAAGGTTTACATGTACCTCACTTCCAGAATTTACGAGCGCGTTACCTTTGCACCATGGGGTGTAACATGCGCTGCGCACATTTTCTTGAGGGGCAGGTGATTGTTGGAAGTTGGAAGTTGAAAGTTCTTTCCTTGCGCGCACTACAAATCTGTGGTCAATTTTAAACGTAAGAATGTAAAACAAAGGCATTCCAGCTGAGTAGTTGATTTCAAAGCGCAACAGACGAAATAACCTTTTTTTTTTTGTCGCCGTAAGTTGCGTTGCAAAAACGTGCGCGAATTATTTCCCCATGTTAAGAAAAGATAAATGTATGAACGGTTTACAGCTGTGCTTGTTTTTGTTTTTGTTTACGCAAAAGTAAGGACTACAATGTATCTTCTCCGTTGAACTCTTTTCCCGTAAACTCTTCCTTTCCACAAGCGTAGGATCGTCGAGGGGCTAATGATCCAACAATTCCGCCCCAGTTTGAACAAACAAGTCATTTCTATGTCTCCAAACTTTTCCCATCGGGAATCACATAAGATATATAGGTTTGTACAGACGGTCAACACTTTCAACCCTGATGATGGCAAACAGCCGAAAACGTTTGGTTTTAACATTTTAATAATTTTTCTTAATCTTTTTAGCCTTGTATATACAATATCTTCCTGTCCACTTACACCTTCTTGATTTTCTCAACAGGTTTTAGAAACCCATTTCCGTTTTTCTACCCGGTTTATTTGACAATTCTACTGGTTCACCTTGAATTCCGGGACGAAGCGAACAGTCGTCGTAAATACGGAGCAAGCTGGGACGAGTATTGCCGGCAAGTGCCATACCGCATTGTACCCAAGATATTTGAACCTTTTCGCGCTCATCATTTTAAGATCTTTTTTTTTAAACTATTCTTTACATTTTAGATGCCTCTTTTTAGTGTACAAGTTTATACCATAAAAATTCGTTTTTAACTCTAAAAAGCAAAGAAGTGTTGAAAGAAATTCTGGAAGGTAAAAGAAAACATTTTATCAGAAAAGATTTTCCATAGAAAATTTTATTTTCATCTTTTTTCTTCTTTTTTTTTTTAGAATTTTTTTCCACTACGCCCATGGCTTAGCATTGTACCTAAGATATTTTAACTTTTTGCACTCATCATTTTAATCTTTTTTTATTAAATTTAGCACGACAAGCGAAGTTTTGAGTTCGATAAGTGTGTTCAATTTGGAAATTTGTACCGTAAATTGCACTTAAGTTTTTAGGTGAAAGTAAGGTATTACAAATCCCGTAACTAGTTAACCATAGATTTTCTCTTAGTTTAATATATATACTACTYTAAATAGCTCCTAATCTTTTTTCTTTTTTAGTGTTCCCAAATTAGTAAGGGATTTTTCCCTAGCTAGACGGCTCTTGACACTTTTAATAAAGTTTTACTACTACTACTACTACTACTACTACCAATTACTTTCGTTGCCATTTATTCGGACTGAACAGAGGTTAATCGTTTTATTTGTATCGTCGATGAAAGTGAAAAAATACTTTCCGTAAGATCCTTGACTGGTTTTGAAGAAAAAACTGCTGTGACAGTCACTTATTTTAACAGTGTACGGAGGATCGCAATAATTTAACCATAGTTGGGGTTGCGATTACATAACCTGGGTCAGATGCTGTCCCCTGCCCGGGTGGAAAACCCTTGTATCCTCAAGGGTTACATGTTTGAATGCGCAGTACTATTTCCTGCATGATGACAACGAGATGATACGGCAGACTTTTGAACATGTCTGCGTCGACACATGATGAAATTAGATGTAAGTGATGGATCCCGACTGGATTTCTGGGTTTCTGCTAGCTTTATAATAAGATTTGAGTACCTTTACACCCTAACATCAGTTTCCAAACTCTTCTCCTTACATTTCCGTTGGTGCTTAGTGACAAGGAGAATTCGTTTAACAATCAATCTTGTTAAGGTGATGATCATTTCCTTTATTCTCATGATCTTAATGGATGATTCAGAAGTGTTACCGTAAGGAGAAATTAGATGCTGGTCACTCCGAGGATTTAAAGGGTTAAGGTAGCGCGCCGTCTCTTTGATAAACACCATATTTTCCCGGCCTGTAATGAATGGTCCGAAATCGACTTGGTTACAGCCTCGTAGCTCCTCGTAAGGACGACTGGCTGGGACTTTTAGCGCAGGCTTTGTCTTTCTGGGTTAAAGTGGAAGGCAAATCTAAACGGTTCTGGAATGACATGGGTTGTAGACAGCGTGTCAATCGATTGGAGGAATATTAAGGAACAGGAACGTGCATCATAAGTCCAGAGGAAGATTAATATCGTCATTTCCTTTTCATTTGGAAATTTTTTTCAAAATGATGACGTTGAGATACTTTTAATGGTAGTATTGATGTGCAAGAAACGTTGAATACATATATCTTATTAGAAGTTTTGTTGTGTCGTATCGCTTAGTATTTTTACGAGTTGTGCCGTATTTTGATGAGCCCGTAGGGCGAGTCAAAATACAAATAACGAGTAAAAATACTCAGCGATACTACACAACAAAACGTCGTATAAGTTATTTATTATCCAACACTCCAAATTGTTCTCTCAGTGCGGGCGAATTTCGCGGATATTTATTTACGAGGAGTATGTGAGGCGGAACAGAATTGGCGCGCTGTCGTGTTGCTGTTTCTATTTTCTTCTGTAAATGAAGAAATTTAATTGGTTGTCTAGTTGTTTTTCTTCGTTCGATTTATCCAATAGACTTGTATCTATATTTGCCAGCCATTCCGACTCTTCGTTGTTGGAAATATGATTCAAATTGTCCGCCATTTTTTTTTTTTCGTTACTTCAATCCAATTCTTCGCTTGCCCAATGCGAGAAAACCTGTCTAACCTGTCAAATACCGCGAGATATTTGTACTCGTCTATGGCGTTATTTGTACCCTACAGAGTGTTGTTGGATAATAAAATAACGTAGTCTGTGTGTAGATTTTTCAATTTAACTTACACCACAGTGATGCAGCTGATTGTTTAGCTGGACTGACTAAGAAAATGAACCGCACTGAAATGGACAAATTATGCGAGCGCTGCATAAACGGATCTAGAGTTTATTCTGTCAAATCACATAATACACTCGCTCTTGGTCAGCAATAATTAAAGTGATCGTTTCCTCAGGAGTCGATTCTAGAGCACATAATTAAAGCAAATAAATGTGGATGCGATGAAACTTAATTAATAACCTGTTAAGCGAAACTTACGAACCATAGCGGTGATATTTTAGCGCAAAAAAGCAGTTGGGTAATAAATAACTTATTGGACGTTTTGGTTAGTAATATCGCTAATTATTATTAGTTTTCGTCTGTATTTGGACTCATCCTGTGCGCGTGACAAAATACGGCCGGCTCAACTCGTAATTTATTCAACTATACTACACATCAAAACGCGAACTTAGAGACGAACCCTCTTCCGTCCATAAACAAGTTAAGATCATAAATTGTCTTTCTGTGTTTCGACACTATTCCCTCAGCTAGCTAGCAAACCTTTCTTCTTGCTTGATTATACATATAAGAAAGCAAAATATGCATTCGTAAGTATATATTGAATTGTTGGGGCGGTTACCATTTACATGAAATATTTACTTGAAATTTTGGAAATTGGCACTGACCTTTCCTTCAACCTTTGTGGGTGGAAAACAAGGCAAAAAAGAAGCTCTATTCCAATTGAACAACGATTTGCGGTGGGGATGGGAAGGGTCCATTCAAATAGCGCAGTAATACTAGCATACGAGCGATAGAAACCTAACGGAAAAGGTGCAGAAGCTCCACTCCTTCCTTCCAATGCCAATTCTTCGTCTCCCATTGGTCCCGGAAAGTGCAGAGATTCAGATTGTTTTAATAGTCATATAACTAAATTTAGAGTCAATTTTTGCGAGTCAAGTTTCTAGTTGTTGCGTGAAACGACTTTGACTTGACTAATTCCACTGCCTTGAATTTATAGCTAATTAGGCCGGCGGATTTAAAAATGTTTCTTTACATCCATGTTGGACAAAGGACACCTCCACTGTGTTGACATCACACATCAGGCTAGTCCATTATCTGGGCGTTACTACCCAACTGAGCTGTTTTCAGCAAAAAGATCACATATCATCAGCTAGCAATTGCAGTCTTACCAGAACTGGCTTCAAGTAACAGTTTCGTTCAAGTCTAAGCTCAGCTTGGTCTTAGTTGAGCCACTAAACGAGGAGATTCTCTTGTGTGTTATAAAAGATTTGTTGAAGCTAGCCTCCATTCTCACAGTTATGTCCTTGAAAACTTCAGGCGACTCGCCATGCTCTTCTAAAACGCGTCGCACTAATGCCTTGAGGAGGTCAAAGCAATGAATAAGTTCACCAGCGCGCACTGGAATATCCAAACGCCTCAATGCACCTGCGTTAGGCTGAGGTATCTTAAACGGTTTTTCAAGAGAATCCACGAACTCTGAAAGACGATCTAACGGTAGGTAAGGCTTCCCATCTGGAACAAACGTTCCCCATGTAGTGTAGTAACTGTCAAAGCTCTCCTTCGTGATGCAGAAGTCTTCGATCTCGTGAGCGCGGTTTACATTCTCGAGGATGATGGCGATGTACATGTTAACAATGACCAGGAACACTATAATGACGTAACTGGCTAAATAGATAATGGCGCCGAAAGAACCGCAGTTTCCGTGCGGAAGTCCCTTGTAGTTAGGATCACAGTCTGGAGGTTTTAGAAGCAAAGCGTCCATGATGTCATTCCAACCCGATCCCGTTGCAAGACGAAACAGTAGCAACAGCGAAGTACCAAACGTTTCGAAGTTGACGACATCGTTAAGCCCACCTTCTCGTTTGACATTTCCAAATGCTGACATACCGATGATGGCGTAAATGAATATTACCATGAACAGCAGGGTTCCGATGTTGAAAAGGGCTGGTAACGAGATCATCAGGGCCCACAGAAGCTGGCGTATACCCTTGGCAAACTCTACTAGTCTTAGCAACCTGGCAATCCTGAAGATTCTGAGAACACGCAAAAGACTGGGGCTGACCGTGGCATCGTTTGCACTGAACTCATCGAGAATAACGTCTGTTTGAAAAAATAAAATAGCTGTCACCTATCATATTTAAAGGCTAAGATAATGTAAGACGCAGAAAAAAAATTTCATTGTTCACTGGCGTAGGACAAAAAAAAATCTGAATCGAGCCTCAGGCCTTTGTGCTTGCAATCAGTCACCAGTTGCAAGTTTCCTAGTTACATCTTTATGATGGCCAGCATATCATCTTTGACATAGGCGTTTCGTCACGTTCTGACGCTTTGAACTATGAACCTTGAAAGACTTGGGAAGGAAATTGTTTCACCACTCGAAACTTTCGCCACCTTTGATTTTACGAAAGCACCAATGAATTTCGTTATTGATGCAAGATGGACTCTCTTAGACAATATCTGCCGGCACTAGATCGTAAGAACACTCTACAAAGTCCATTAACCTCGTAATGAGACATTATGCTATTACAGTACAGTTCCACACAAACTCGACAGGAAAGACCCTTGCCCAAATTTACCACAGAAATCTTTGCATAATGACCAAATTATATATTCATTTTCACTAAGCTCCAGCTCGGGCTGGACGTGAGACATTTGGCTGGAGATCTTTTTGCCATGACCAAGAACCAAATGTTTCTCCATCCGGCCTGAACTCGACTCAGTCTATGGCCATTTTATTTCACCACCGCCTTTGTCTTCATTCTTATCACAAAACTGTGTATATACACTTGGCAATACGACTATCTCTGCCCCTACTCGCCCAATCGCCTACTGCCCTCTTAGGGGGATATCTAGGGGAAACTGTCAAAGAAAGTACACACAGAGTTGCAGGGAGTAAAAGAAAAGGAGACCTATTTGTTTTAGGGGCTTGTGTAATAGTCGTATTCTGGGTAGTTAAATGTCCAATATTTTTTCTTTTGGAGAAGGGTCTACATGACTGCTGCTTACCAACAAGGGAACTAATAACGATGATGAAGTCGAACACATTCCATGGTTTCTTGAAGTAGTGCAATCTTAATGTCACAATTTTGACAATGGCTTCCAGAACAAATATCCCCGTGAATACATAATTGGAAACGCGTGGATATGTCAGTTAAGGAAATGGTTGTTTCAGGCTATGGCATAACTAAAGTTTAAGCTCGTGAAATAACCCTAACAGGGCATGACAATAGTCTTAGAGAGTTGAGGTTAGTTCAAATCCTCATCAGGCAAAGAAATAAGGAATGCTTTGACCTCCGCCCATTTTATCCTCATTCAAAATGTTTTTGTATCGCAGCAGAATTGATAAACTCTCCCCCTTTACTGGTGGGATGGCCGGGGGTTCTAAGTGCCCCTTGAGCAGAACGGCTGGAGGCACTTAGGTACATAATAACTCAAGGGAAGAAGTATCCACCTAACATATATGACAGACAAGTAGGTTTTTGAATAAGCTGACGGAACAATGTGAAACGCTGCCTTAATTTAGACTCTGAAAGGATATGTAATACGCTGGTGAACTCGGTAGACTGTCCATAGTGTTGAATCGTCATCATTACCATATTACACATGATCACAGTCAGAATTGCAATTTCGAACTTGTCACCAGTAACCACATCGTATAACAAGCCAAATACTTTCTCCTGCAACACAAATCCAAAAAGATTCTTTTCCAAAATTTCTCGGGGTACATGGATCACGTGGATGAGAGCAGCATACTTGAAAGTGTTTATGCAAGTAAGTTTTCCTTGAAAACTTCCCCCTAGACAATTTGTCCTTTTCCTTGAAAAACAAATTACACATTTTCCTTGAAAAGGTGAATTGTATAGATGCAAAATTGCGATCATGAGTTCTTTTTTCCGGTCTCTTGTTTTCGCTCTTCCGAGTTTAGCTTTTCCACCGAAAAAACGAACGACAGATCGCAAGTAAGCCCAAAAGCGAAAATGCCAGTTTTTAACTTAGACTTGCACATGTATCGATCCAGAAGAACCTGTCACCAACTACTAAGTTTATCTGTGCAAATGATTACGGATGCTTGTCAAAGGAATTGGTAAGGTTGAGGAGAAATCCCATTCAAATAATGTTTCATAACCAAGTTCCGTTGAATTTTTTTGCAGTGATATAAAATGTGAACCACCAACATGTTTACTTTGACAAGAACAAGGCCTAAAGTGTACACATATCTGTACCGACTCTTAGAGATCTAACCTTCGGGCGAATCTGTCTTGTCGGTGGCTTCTTCTTGGCGGCTTCCTTCAGGAAAGAGACCCATTTTCTCTGGGTATCTGTAAGTAGCATCCCCATGCTGTTGAGTTCTTCGTACTACGATGAAAACGTCGACGTGAAAGAACCCATTAGTTAGTGGCATACTGATCTGACTTTGGAAAATAAGCATCTTTTAAAGATAACGCAGTTTTTCAGCCAATTACGACGAAAGGTATAGAGGAAACACGTCGATCATCACTTTTTTGGATTGAAGCATACAGAATGTTTGATACAATTAGACGACTCGCTTTGCTTGATAAACTCGTTCTGGTGATCTTTTTTCTTTGGTGGGTGTTTCCGTACTATATCACACTGAACTTTCGACTTGTATGCATGAAAGAGGAAATTGCGTCGAGGGATGAATTATCTCCAGTGCACACGAGGAATCGTTCAGATTTCAGTTCAACTCAAGTCGCAGCGTTTGCTAATTAGAACCTCCTTATAAAGAGAAAGTGAAACCCTGATATCACTGAAAAAAAGTGATAAGAAGTGGTAAGAAAAAAGTCGCCAGGTTGTCCTCATTTTGGTTGAAGTCAGAATCGGTTAGAACGAGCTAACTGCTGGTAAAAAATCTCCCTTATCATGCAATACGACAATAAAGTGTACCTTCTTTTTTAACGTGTTGAAGTTATCGATGATGACTCCGACGAAAAGATTCAGTACGAAAAAGGAACCAACGACTATGAAGGCCACGAAGAAGCTGTAAGCCACTAAGTTATTTTCATATGTGGGTTGTAAATCCACCTACAGACGGGAAAACCAAATTTACTCATGAGTTACCCAGGCTAATGCTTACTGAAAGGAGTTGATTTGACTCCAATCACAAATTTAATTTGTGGTGCTGGTTTTTGTGGAGAGAGAAAGGCAGGGAGAAAACCCCAGGGGCAAAGACAAGGACAAATAACAAGTCCGGGAATTGAGCCTGGGCCACAGTAGAATACAATGATGAAGTGATGTTTTTTTTTCTGATCATAATGACAGAGTTTTTTTTGTTTTTGAAATAACATCAAAATATGATGATGCTGACATGAACCGAATATTACTGAATTTCCAGTGCTCTGCTGCTTACGCAGAACAGGTGTGCTCTCCAGCAGCTGGATCCCATACTCGGTTCAATTGTGAGTTTGCTTGTACATATCACGAGATGCCGAAAATGCCCATATACGCAAATCATAAAAAGGTGTAAATACAAACCTCAGTGGAGTCAACGGCGTCTTCCATAACTTCCATCCATCCTTCAAAGGTCGCCTTGAATAAGAATAATGTATTTCAAAATCCCTCTTTGCTTAAAAACCGTCTTTTGTCAATCTGCCATTCTTAATATAGTATAGTTACACTCCAAACCCTTTCCCCACCATGAAAATGCTGTATAAACTTTGGGACCATAGTTAACCAAATGATTGCGAGGTAAAGAGCAATCTACCTTAACAATTTCGATGTCATAACCTATAGAAAGCTTAAAAGTGCCTTGGATGAAATTAACTTACCACTTGCATTAATGCGAGGAATCCTGATAAAACGTTATCAAATGTCACTTTCGAATTCACCCAGCGAAATTCTCCTGGGTGTTTGAGACATTCTTCCTTGCTAGGGATGACGAGGGCGGATAAAGGCTCGTTGTCTGCGTCCACGCACTTATAAAACTTTCCAGAGAAAAGATGAACGCCAAGAATGCTGAATATTAACCAGAAAAGAAGAGAGACCAGAAGAACATTGCCAATACCTGGAATAGCTGCAAACAGTGCGTTTACCACAACCTGAGAATAAAAGAGAAGCAATAATTTTATAAGAACTTCACTACGGAGTGCAAAACTACGTCTGCATGTGCTTCTGTGTCCAAATATTTTGAATTTTTTTTTTATATGCTTAGTGCTTTTTTTTCGAAATTGGAGGTTAGTTAGCCACAGTTATGGAGTCCAAAGTTTCTTCTTGTCAGTCTAACAGTTTCTCATATCCATCTCAGCATTCTCTTGGGTTTTGTCGGCACTATGAAATTAAAGTAAAAGGCGTACTTGATTCATGATCATATTCCTGGCAAATTTGCGTGATCATGAAAGATTTCTCGCAAAATCAGATGATTCTGAGGGACCAGTAATAGGGGGTCGGAGGATTTTGGTTGTGTCACGATAGAATTTACCTGATCCTTCCCGAAGGTTCTGTAATATTCTTATAACCACCGTCATTGGCAGTTAATTGGCAGTCAATTTTTATAGCCCTTTATGCTTTGTTGGCGACGACTGACCCCCCTCCGTTCCCCTTGAAAACCATATGATCCCCCATCCCACCTCCTCTCCCTAAGACGATAAGGAATAACTAGTCCCTAAAATTTGTCGGTTAAATTAAGGGAAGGAAGTAGTTACAGAACCTTATGTTCCCTTAGATGCATCAAGGTTAAATCGCAGTAAACGTATTACCCTCATTCCTTCCAGTCGTGAGATTGCTCTTAGTGGCCTCAAAGCTCGTAATGTGCGCAGTGAACGAAATACAGACAGGTTCTTGTTTTCGAAAACACAGGCGAGAGAGATCTGCAAAGAGGAAAAGAGTCGTCATTCTATCCAGCTCGAGTACACAGGCAAGTGATCAATACGGGGGGTGACAACTCTAACAAACGCTGTTTGAGCAATGCTAGGTCTTAACTTAAGTCGTCCCGGAAATTTGGATCATCCTCCCGAATTTTTGCGATACTTTCCCGGAAATTTTTAGAATTCCAGGCATATATTCTAAGATTATTACTTATGTAACCTTGAATATTACACGTTTTGCATGTTTAGTATTATTTTAACCATGAATAGCGTCTTTACAGTAAAAAATTTCAATTTTAATTAACAAAGAAACAAAACATCTTTAAAATGGCTGTATTTTCGCTACATAGCATGCATCGTTCATTTCCTATAATGAGGTATTAGTTGTGCTAACGTGTACGAGTAAAAGAAGCCTGAAGTGTTCCGTTGACTACGTCGAGCAACGAGAAGCCCTCTGCCGTCTTGTCTATGCCACTACAAGAGCGAGATCGACATTCTCTCTTGGGATCCACATTCCGGCGCTCTCAGGCTCTTGTGTGCCCTTCACTAGGTACTCTACGCAGTCTTTGGTTACTCGATGACCAACCACCATCACACTTTTCTCACTGGCTTCGGATGATTGCTCAGTAGACACACCTGGTTCTCTGCCTTTCGCTCTTTCAGCTCTTTTGGCTCCATTTTGTTTTGTCACGGAATCCAACCACTGCAACAAAGGAGCACTTTCTTGATCGTGCAATGTCACTGTGGCTTTTGGCTTTCGACAGTACAAAGGAAGAGAGCCTGACCTCCTCTTGTAGATTTGTCTTACTCCACTAACTTTCACACCCTTTCCGTACACACGGCAAAAGTCACGCCTATAGATAGATAAATAAGTAAATAAATAAATAAATATATAAACTCATAAGCAAAAATAAATATGTAAATAACAATGCGAGCGGCGATTGTCCACTTAAGGGTGTTCATACGTCTTCAATTCAGTTTTCCTTTAGAGCAATCATTGCAATCATCCCTTTGAATTTAAGAGTCAATGAGCGTTTTCTTATCATTGCTTTGGTTTTATGTCAAAAGTTTCATTTATCGGATCATTTTTAACCCCGGGGTATTTCATATTCAAAGTTTATTAATCCGTTGTTAATTTGTTCACTAAATAGACCTTGTAGAGGTTTTCGGCGCCATCTTGACGGGCAGGCAAAGCGGTCAGAATTTACGGTGTTTGTATGGGAATCTGACGTCAAATAACTTTTTTGAAAATTAAGTTTGAAGAATGTAGGTTGGATAGAAGACGCTCAGTTAATTTTTCTAATTTTTCATACATTTTGTATGTAATTTTTTTCCGCGCCGCCCCTTCTACCCTGCGAAAATTTACAGACAAATGTATGAGAAATAAGAAAAATTAATTGACCGCGTCTTAGCCAAGCTACATGTCCTTCAAACTTGGTGAATACAATCTTCTACTCAGTACTTTAACGTTGCGATTCATAAATTGCGTAAAATTCGATTTTGGGAAAAGTTATTTGCCATGGGATCCTCAAACAAACACTGTAATTTCTGACCGCTTTGCCTACCCGTCAAGATGGCGCCGAAAACCGTGATAAGGCCTATTATCAGCAACGTTTTGCGGCATAATTGTTTTTTCTGAGAAGATTTTATGAGAATTTCATAAGAACTGACACAACTAAATTATAAGATGCGAACTCTTATCAACAGCCTTTACTCCGATGTCTTTGAGGTCCGTTTTTAGAGTTCCATCTTTTAGCGACTGAAGCAGTGTGCTCACACGCCCTTTATTTTCCCTGAAACATCCACAATGTTCCTCTAACATGTTTTGCGTTCGCCAGGCGCATATATCCTCGACTTCCCATTTCTCAAATGACTTCCCACCTGATATAAAATGCGAAAACAGTACTTTTGCTAAGCATTACAACAGTAATACACGTAAAGTTGGAAAGCATCCGGATAACACCAGGATATTTACTTCAAACTGTTTTACTTACATTTTATTGGTCGTGCCATAGTCGCTATAGCCTAAGCTTGCTCTTTTCGCCTATAGAATCCAAACTTGTTTCTTAAATGGACTTCACTGATGCTCACAAAGCGAGGAATAAATTAAAAACCGTCGCTAACCATACGCGGAACCTTGTTTGATGCGTTTATACCTGAAACGGATCTGGACGTGACTGCTGTGACTGACGTGGTTGAATGGAGTGTGGAACCCAACAGTGTGCCCACCCAGTAGGGTGCGTTTCTGGTTGGTTTGTGTAAACCACAAGCCGCGGCGATGCACTCGCTGTTTGAATGTTTTCATTTACAGAAGATTTCATGCCTAACTTACCTACCGAGTTTAACGTAAATAAAAACGTGAAATAAAAATTCTATCGATGTCCCGACTTTTTTCTGCATTGTCCCGGAATTATCGCGTGTTTCCCGGTAAAATTTCCAAGTGTCCCGATTCCCAGAGAAATCTCCAGATTCCCGGAACAATTTTGGCTTTGTCCCAAAACAGCGTTTGTTAGAGTTGTCACCCCCCGTATCAATTACTTGAAATTCTCCTCAGCTGTGGGAAATTATCACTGGAATCTTTTCTTGCAGTTCGAAAAGAGACCTTTAAACAAAGGTCAAGGGTTGTTCGAGGGTTTTCAATCAAATATCAAGAGCAATACTGAGCTAAGAAGAAATTAGCTTTAACTGCAGAGTAAGATGACCAAATTCAATCGCGAATCCGAAATATGCTTCCTTAGTTACCGGTACTTTTTGCAACCAACTTTTGCTACGACTAAATAATTTCATTAGTTTGGCTATTATTCCTTTCAAATCGCCGAGAAACGGATTAGCTTATCACTCATTTGAGAAAGGTGCGGTGCTGAATTAAAGTGCAAAAATGATGCTAAGTGCGTTCTCGCGCCTTAATTTTGGCACCGCATCGAAATTTTGAAAATTAAGTTTGAAGAATGTAGGTTGGATAGAAGACGCTCAGTTAATTTTTCTAATTTTTCTAATTTTTCATACATTTTGTATGTAACTTTTTTAACTACTACTCGTTGCAGTTCTTAAATGGGCTATTGAATATACTCACCGAAACAATAAAAGCGTCCAAACAGTTCCAGGCGGAAGAAAAGTACTTAATGAGTCCAAAACCAATGGCTTTCAGAATAAACTCCATGGTGAAGATGGCTGCGAAAATGTAATTGCATATTTCCAAAGTCTTTGCAAGCCTCGGCTTTTTGTGAAGATGAACGTCTTCAAAAATCTACAAAACATCCAAAGACATACAATCAGTCTTTATGATTATTATACTTTCTGGAGACTCAATCTTTCACAGAACTACGGAAGCCGAACTGCAAACCTCCTTAAAACATATTTAGAAACACGCTTTAGTTTTGAGCGTGATATAAGATAGTAGTATTAGGTTCTTAGCTTTTAACGCCAGCTAAAAAAACCCAGACGAGTACATTTGAAATCAATTTAGGAGGTATTCGTTTCTCAACATTCATCATAGAGCGCTCTAATAAAAAATATGGTGAAATTTAAAGCGTGACGTCTGCCATACCAATGCAAAGCTGCTGAGGAACACTGTCACAAGAATAAACCACTCAAAATATTTCTTTTCCACAAGCACCCGCACCCTACAACGGAACTTAAGCCAGCAGAAGTGTCGCGAGGAGAATGGTTTCCACAGTGGACATTCCATACAATATTCTGGCAGACAGTCATCAATTTCCATCATGTACCGCGTGGGACGGTTGGCTGAGAGACCACTGGTAGGCTCAGGTAGAGTTTCCTCACTTTCTGCTGAATGTTGATGAAATTGCGAGGTTGGCAAGTTCGCTTTGTGTTCAGGTGTGGGTTCAGATGTCATCATGATAGCATTTGCATCTTCTTCATCAATTTTGCAGTCTAAGAAAGAGAAGCGGTTGATTGAAAGTCATTTTGAAGAAAGGTTGATGAGAGATCCTATTATAATTTTGTGTTCGCAATGGGCCACAACTCGCTTTTTCAGTTAACGGTATTCTTCCTTAGGAAAAACTCAGTTCGGCAAAAAAGTGTACTTAAGCCGTACAAGGCTTACCTTTACATGTGTCATTCTCAGCTATTGGTTCTTCAGGATGATCCGTGGTATTGCATATTGCTAAGCGGCCCGCGGTGTCTTTGCTGGGAAAGCGGCTACTTTCCAGAACCTGCAGTTCGTAAAGGCGAAATGGTTCCCCGTACTTTGCAACAAACAAACGAGATTTTCGTGTTTGGAAGGCTTTCCTTATGCACAAAGAGTATTTTGACGGACCATCTACAGTCTGTGTTTCGTCATTTAGCTCATTATCGGTCTCTCTGAAGTCAAACGCGTTCACCAAGAGAGCTACGAATAGGTTAAGCACCTGGAAATAAAAGAAAATGAAAGGCCTTGAAAGAGTAATTTAAAACTCGAGCTGCTATTAAAAAAAAATACGACGCCGTTCAGTAAAGAGCAGGATTGTCCGCTGAGACATCCCCCACGTGTCAATCACCTATCCAGTTTTCCAGTTTCGGTCAGTCAGTTGGTTGGATAGTCAAGCAGTCAGTCAGGCAGTCAGTTTTTCAGTCAATCATTCAGTCGGTAATGAGTAGTACAACCAACAAGGACCTAGAACTTTTCTCTTTGCAAAGTGTTATTCTGCGAAAGCATCTTTAAGTATGAAGAGTAGCCACCACCAACGCCAAACTGTATTCATAATAAAATTTAAGAATCTTCAGAATTGTTGGAATCGAAATTTTTCGTATCTACGAAAAAAAAAAGGCAAAACAGCTACTTACTATGAAATTTCCCACAACAAGAACAGTAAGAAAGAATAATGTGGCCTGTCCTGCACTGGTGGCCCTCATGCAGTCCCAGAGGGGCTCAATCCACTCCCCACACAACACTCTGAACACCATCATGAACGCATGCCAAAAGTCGTTGAAATTCCAGCGAGGTATTCCATCTTTGCCAAACTTCTCCACCGTATAAGCTTTACCAAACACCTTTATTCCCAGTACGGCAAAGATGTAGATTACAACGCCGAGTATCAGTGTAATATTTCCAACCGGTCCTACGCTCCTGGCGATGGCTTTCATGAGCCTTTCCATTGTCTTCCATGACTTAGCTAAGCAAAGCACTCGTACCTGGTGGATGAAGGAGTTTCAGTCGTTAGTTAAATACAGTCTAAACAATGGCGCAGTTAAAGCATATCGAATGAAAATAATTACTTTACACCCTTGGTTAACAATCGGTGAAGTGATTTCAGCATAGTCATCTCATTCCACAAAAGATTTACTTATAATTACTTACATTGGTTGCTCACGCTAATTTCGGTAGGCAAATAACCATTCGATGAACTACGACATTTTACCAGAGCATTGAGAAAAGCATCGATAGCTGATTGCTCACCATGATTGCTGGAAAAGACACCGCGTTGATCTTCCTTGAGTTTTTTTTACTGTTGCTTCACTGAATGAACGAACATATCGATGAAAGGACTTGAATATAGCCGAAACATATAGTTTGGTTCCACAACTAATTCAACCTTAAGCATGATTACTCACCAGCCTCAGCGTTCGAAATATGCTAAGTCCTTCAGCAGATTTGTAGAAGTACCCCAATAAACTCCCGGTTACAACTGTAGTGTCGAAAACGTTCCACCTGCTGCGGATAAAACCCATGGGTCCCATGGCGATGAAGCGGAAAACAATCTCAGCTGCAAACAACGCTGTGAAAACCTAGGTGTAAATGAGAAACACATTAGTCAGCCAAAACGACAACCTAACCGTATAAAAATTCAAAGTGACAATGGTGACCATGTACGTCATGCTGAGCTTTGTCATCATAATCATCACTGTCATCGTCATCATTATCGTCACCATCTTCTTCATCATCATGGTCATTATTATGATCTCTTGCACTGTTTGCCGGTTAGCATTAAAATTCAGAAGAGCGTGGACTAAAGTAATGCCAATCCTTCTAAAAAGGGTGAATTCAAGTCCTCCGAGCCTGTGGCTCACTTTGGCAAGGGCGTATCTAGATTTCTGTGGCTTGAAGCGGCTCTAAATGTTTAGATCTAATGTCAGTTCCTTGTAGGTTATCCAAAAGCCATTCATACTCCCGGGTGAAGATAGCCAGGGTGATGGTAAAAACATCAGTGACATCACTGACCCCTGCGGGGCTTTAACACAGGCCCCTTAGTCTGGGGTCGAGTGAGGAATCCATTAGTCCATCTGGTTTCATAAAAAAGATAAAAGATAAATTGTTCCCACTTAGGAAGAATCGGGGTCGAACTGAAAATTGCGGAGTTTGCATAATTATCACACATCTTTATGGTCATAGATTTCTTCTGATAATAAAAAAATCGAGGATTTTAATCCCGGTATTCCTAATCTGCTTACCAAGTTCACGTAGTCCAAGACCTGTCGAAACTTTGGGTCAATACCATGGTGATACATGGCCAGAACTATAGTATTCAGGAGTATCAGCACTACAATGACTGCATCAAAGGCAGAATGAGTAGTAATATCACGCATGCGCTCGCGTAGGTTCTTCCAAAAGGAGTTTGTACGAACAACAACTTTACACTGTACTTTGGAAATTCCGCGACCATCTCTCTGTGCACAAGCTGAGATAAGGCAGTGGCGTAACTGGGAGGTTTTATTTTCATTTTCTTCGGGCGAAGATTGCAGAGGGGTTTCATCGGGAGGTCTGTCCTTGACGTTGTTAGTTATAGGGAGAGGTGGCTTGCTTCCATCCAGGGTGCTTAGGCGTTGAAGTGTTACTTGATCAGCTTCGTACGAAGCTGCAGTTTTTCTCAGATGTGTCCTTTTTTCTCTCTGTTCAAAGTTTAAATAAAAAGCAACAAGAAGGAATTGAAATAGGCAACTGAAAGATGGTATATTGGTCGCGATGATGAGCCTTACCATCGTATGTGAGAACAACGTTTTAATGAGTAAATGAACGTCTTAATCATCGTGATAATTTAATACTTGTATAGCGCTAAGATTCCATAAGTAGATGCTCTCCAGCTCTTTACAATATTTCCAAATAAAATCTAATAAGCCTAAGTTTAGAAGTGGCATATCCATGATAAATGTTCGTGTTATTTGCAAAATCTAGCCAAACTACTATTCACACTTAATGAATATGATAAAGGTCAAAAGCAATACGAAACAGATGCGTTTTAAACGCTGACGCAAAAATGTGCACACTACTTGCGCTACGAATGTAGACGGTAGTCTGTTCCATAGCGCTGGCGTCGCCACGGTTAAAGTCTTTATCCTAGGTGGCTGCAGTAAGAGTTTTCTATGATGATCAGAGACCATGATCTAGATAAAACACTTCATTGACTATTAAATCAGAGTGACTAGCCAGGGGAAATGTGTCAAACTTTAACGAAAACATTTAGTTTCGGTCAACTCTTCTGTTCCGAGAAGATACAAACTAGACATGACAAACTTTTGAAGAGCAGGAACTTACAACAGCACCAATTTCTTCTGGTTTAAGTATTTGTGATATACCTTCAATTTAATTCGCTTAAAACCTTATGGGAAAGCGAGGGATTCACGATTTTATGTTTTGTAGGAGTCCTTTCATACTGACTACGATCTATTACTTGAAATTTTGCATTGATCGATCGTTGATTGGCGGAGAGGAGCCGGTCAATTTCCCATTCTGGAGATCCTCTCTATACTCAGATGTTACAAAGCAACCTGCAGTGTTACCTCTTTCTCGTCCGAGCATAGTTCCAGTTCGTACGACAAATATACCACAGCCAAAACCAGATTCATCAAGTAGAACGAACAAAAGAATATACCAGTCATGAAATATGGCACATACAGCGCTCCTGAAGCCCTGATAATCTAAACACAACAGCGCAAAAGCGTGTCAAAGCATAGATAAAAATAGATTAAATATTGATTAATTAAAATCAATAAGTTTATAATATAAAAAGAGAAATTTTTGAGACTTGATTGGTTGACAGTATTGCTATTTCAGTGTAATAGTGCTCTAACAGCTAAAACGGATGATGCAAAAAGGTTACCATGATAACACTGAATACAACTACGCTTTTGCCTTGGGTTCTACTACTGCGGTGACTGCAAAAACCGTGATTTGAAAAAAATTTTCATTGAACTATTATATATTTGCCTTTCATGTTTTTTGCTGTTTTGGAGACAAACTGTCCATGATGTTTTTTTTCTCATTGAAGTCACGAAAAAGATTGTTTCGAATGCAGACAGCTGTGTCTTTGTTTTTTCAACCGTAACGAAATACTGGTCTTCTGTGTCTTATGCGTTACCGCAAATTTCTCGGCTTGTATGGTAAACAAGTAATAGCATGACCTGTACGTGGTATTCTGCAATAATACCGGCTCGTAATATTTCAAAATTTTCCAAATACCACGAACAGCTTCGGGACTGGTGGTATTTTGGACAATTTTGAAAAATCAGCCTTCAAAGTCACGCTATTGCCTTTATTAACCAAACAACTAGTCAACTCACAAAAATCTATTGTTTTATTGTGTTAATTATTTCAAAGCGCAAGATAAACAGGAAGGCACAATCAGACCAGTTTAAGCTAAAAATGAACACTTAGAATTTGAAGATGGCATGGTTTCCCTTCTCACATGTATTTTGATCATCTAAAGAAATATATTTGCCCTAATATCAGTAACCACGTTTAATAGCAACGCTTAATTTGTCGACTATTATAGACTAAGCTTGATCTAGTTTTGGCTTAGACCTTGTGCTCGAAACAAACCCTTGGGTACCTTATCATATACGTTCTCCCAGAAGTCCATCGTTAGTATCTGTAAAGCCATGACCAGCGACCAGCCAATGTTATCAAATGACGTGTAACCATGATCCGGGTTTGGACCAGCATGAGGCATACAAGTGTAATTTGATGGACATGATCTGAAGTAAAAGAGCAGTTATTCAATAAACAGCTTACCAACATTTTGTGATCTAAGAACGTTGGGAAAAAATATACAGACAGACAATGATTGTCTTTGCGGTAGCACGACCAAAAAATGATGTTGAATCTCAGGAAGAAAAGTGCTGTAATAAATAATTTAAAATAGTGGACGAAAGATTAACAATTCATCGATAATATACCCTCACAAATGTTAGACGGTTAATCAAACTGCTAGAGTCAAATACTGAGATATACTTTACCCGGCGGTTGAGGAATTTCCACAAATCAAAGGCTCGCCTTCATGAATCAACCAGAAGCCTGGAAGAATTTGTTTGTTTATTTAGATTTAATACCCTTAAAAACCATTTGCATCAAGATCATTACCAACTTTCGCTTAAATATTGCCTCATCCAGATGATTATAAACAAAGAAAAGGGTTTTCCAATGTTCTGCCAATTTACTTTATCGAGAGTGGTTCAATTTCTTGCTGTGCACTGAGATCGGCTTTTTTTGCAGGCTCCATTCAAGACAACAGAAAACATAGTAGTCCACGCGGATACTCCTTTACGAGAAAATGAAAACTAACCGCTTTGGTGAGCTCCAGCCATAAATGAAAAACCATGGTAAAGATTTGCAGTGTGATATCAATCAGACCTTTGTTCGATCGTTGAGGACATGATTTCCCCCGCGTAGGTAAATTTTCTGTGGAAGTCCTTGAGAGTTACTTAGAAACACCCATAATAATTAATTTACTTTGACCTACAAGGGAAACGCTTTTAAATGTCGCCCACCCCATGACAGCCCAACAGAGAAGTTTCCGTGTCAACTAGGGACAGGTAGGTGTAAAGAATCAAAATAAGTAACAATATCTTAACTTTTAGAGTATTATCCTGTCAATACTATTGAATACTATTGAATCTGGAGATCATGAGACACGAGCGAAAGCTTCAAAAACGAACAGTTATCATCGTTGCTGCTTTCAGGGTAAATAATATAAATGTTCGGTTGGCTTCTTACTGCCAAAAGTCACCTGTCAGAAAAGAATCTGGGTCTCTCTGCTTTAGGATTTGTGGGAAGTAAGAAGGATATATTTCGAGCCGTTTACTCCATCTAACTCTGTTTCTTACTTTCGTTAAGGGCTCGTTCCTGCATGCTTAGGGATCCATTGAACGGTGTGTTAAGAATACACTTGTTCCTAAGCTCTCCAGAAAACAGTTGCAGACCGATAAGCGCCATGACAGCGAGAAAGAACAAAAACAAAACCAACACGTCACTCAAAAGCTTCAAAGAACGGAGTAAGGTGTTCACCATCGCTCGGAGACCTGAAAAGGAAATAAAAATTCAGTAAAATGAACGCGTAATGACACAGAGGTGTTGAAAATTGGTACAAGATACACTATATCAAAAGAAAGTGCTATAACTAAACACCAATTATTGAACAGAAACTGTCACAAATTTAAAAAAGGAAAAAAAATCGCAGTGAATGGTATAGCCTAAGGCTGGCACTTATTTGAGGAACTCATTAATTTAGCTTTCAATTTTCCGTCATCTTAGATGCTTTATCAAAAAAATCATTTTAAACTTCATTCAGGCTTCAAGAAAAGCCAGATGATGTTTATTGGTTCTTCTAAAGAGCTCCAGTTGAAACTTGAGTTATTGTCAGTGATTTCTTCAAAGAGGGTTTACCTCTCATGACATTGTATCATACATAGCAAAATCCAAGGGATTCTTTTGACAATTGATGTTACTGGCACCGGTTAGGTGCAACAATCATAAATAGTACTCTCGCTTGTACCTTTCATGGCAGAGAAAGTTCTAAGGGCTCTAAGAACACGAACTGTTCTGATGCCTGTTAAATTGGCAATGTTGGGTGCCACAGTGATGTACCTGTGAATCACGAATTAAAAATATGGTTATATTTGCTTGTATTTTGACTGCAACCACGGTTCCTTGAGTCCTGATATCCATTTCCAGATATGTTAAGACATATTAATAGATAAATTTTAAAGATATTGGATAATCAAAATGAAGCTTACATTTCCTTCATAAGGTAGAAATACTATTTTGGTAAACTCAAATGATCAATCCTAAAACTCTGTCATTCAACATCGTTCTTTCTAGCTAATTACGTACCAAGCGAATACACACCATCTTTGGTGCAACTCACCCTAGGGCAACCACAATAAAATCCAGCCAGTTCCATGCATCTCTGAGATATGCGTAAGTGTGAAAGATAAATCCACGCGACAATATCTTGAGCATCATCTCTAAGGTATAAATACCACAGAAAACATACCTGAAACAGGAAGAAAACGTTGAACAAGGGTAAAGAAGTGATATATCTTCAGTGCTTATGTTCGAAAGAATGAGGTAGTGGTGAATCTACGAGGCCTCGGCTAATACTAGCCTTATCCACAGACCAATCGCAAAAGTATTCCTTGAGCACTAGTTCACGAGAATCTGAACTTGGTCTTTCGTCCGTCTTATTGTAAATCTGGGCTTCTATTAAACTTCCTAGATTGCAAGCAGCATTTTCAAAAATGAAACTAAGAAATAGATAAACTATTGTTCTACAGTTTGTTGGAAAATGATAATAAAAAGAATATCTTCGGTCACTTACTCAGCTTCCTCTGGTGCACATTCGACTACAAGGAACACACAGTTGGCGAGGATAGTGAGGATCACGAATGATTCAAAGTATCTGCATTTTGTTTAAGGAATAATTCTTTGCTTCAATTTCTTATAAAAACGTATGACTACGAAAGTGACTTGCCCACATGCAGCTGTGCTCGAGGATTTTACCATTCCCAGTCACCGTAGCATGATGTCGGATTAGTCGTAAGAAACCGCCGTACTTCATTGGTCCATTGGTCCCTTCTAGGACTCTCAAAGTAGTTTGCTAGCTTCTCCGACTGATAGGCACTGAGAAGGTAGAAAGGCGTCCTGGAAGCCTAACACAATGATTTGGGCTGGATTGGGACACCTTCTCTTCTATTTTACTGATTCAGAATTATAATTTTCTCCCGCGTAACTGCATACCAAACCCTCAAAAAGGACTACCTTCCGCTCAGAAATGTTGTTACATAAGTCGAAAACACCTTCGCTTGTATTTGTAATTTGTTTTAATACGACCACGTCCTTTACCCGTGTTTGTGATCACAGCACTTTCGGCAACGAAAGGAACAACGATGAAATATTGACTTTAATTTACCAGCAATTGTTGGCAATAAAGAAAGAAAGAAAAAAGTACTGAAATTTGGTTCTTGTCGGTCCGTCATCCAATGACAGTAACATCATTACTACTTCCCCAAAGGAAAACATCAATACTTCACTATTCAGAGGATACCTATTAGTAACGACACTAATCGCGAACTGCCTGGCGGAACTGACAGGCTCTAGTAGACCTAACGCCTTTGCCTTGTTAAATCTGTGCACGTGATCAGGACGTGAGGCTCCCCGACGACGAATCACAAGAAAAGTCTGATTACTGGGGATCTGCCGAGAAAAAAACAAACAAAACAAGACCTATAGGATTGTCTAAAGGATGACTTTTTCCGGGGATTGAATTCATGCTATGCAGTATTAAAAACATTGAAGCTGTTTACGCCAAGAGCACGTAAACATGACTCCTTGGATGAGGGCTCAGGCTAGAAATTCACACAAAAACGACATTCAATCATTAGCCTTTGTCTAGTGTATACGTGTTCCTTTTTTGTTTTCTATGTAACTTTGAACACCGTCAACGTGGCGGAATACACGTTGGCCTAAAAAAAGCTCCTTTTTAGTATTTTTCTGCTATTATTTTTCATGGGCTAGGACGTACTGTTATTTTTGAGCATTATTTCTGAGATAGCAATCTATATTAAAACTTGGGCCTACAGAGTATTAGGCATTAGAGATACAGCGCCATCCAGGCTACAATTGATAGATACTCAACATTCCCAAAGAAGAAGCAGGTGCAGTAATTAGTTTAAAAAAATTTCATTGCGAGATCATTAAAAAAATTTTCTGTTGAAAATTCGAACAACTACTTACCACACTTTTGATTATACCGGAAACTGAGACTCAAACAGAGGTCAAAAGATCTGAAAATTTTTAGGTATTTTTTTCTTATACTAAAAGAATTTCACCGAGTAGGAGAAGCACAGCTTCGTTGTAATATTTTTCATAGATTTGGGTTTTATATGGCAAATATTTCGGTTGTAAGGCAAAGAACTCGTCATTATACGAATCCAATTATAATAACCAATCCGTTTTGGTATTGATACATTCCTAAGTAGCTTTGTACCAGCTTCTCTTCAACGATCAACCGTTTGAATCTTATACATGCAGATATCATCTGATACGAATCAATCTATGAAATGGACCACCTTTCTATGCGAAGAGGGCATTAGTTCATTTTTAAGTCCATCCTTGCCATCACTTTGAAAACAACTCACCCTTCCATTAGTGGCATCGTAATCTTTTAGCGGCTTTCCGATATAAAACGAAGGGACCCGAGCCACATTGGAACTTTCAGGCTCTTTATCTGTGTCCATCTCTGGGTCCTCAGCCTTCGTCTCTATTTCCTCAATATGAGGACCCGAAGCAAAATGGACTCTTTTCAAAGGTGACTCCTGGTTGCACGAAGTGTCGGTTGGCTCTTTTTTATCGGCAGCTTTAATTACAGATCCCTTTGAAGTCTTGCCTGTTGTATAATCAAGAAGAGACGTTAAATTCTATGGAGCAAGGAAGCTGTAATCCTTGTTTTATCCTATGTGATTTGCCACAGTGGGTCGTTTCTTCGAACAAAAGTGATGAAGATGGGACAAATTATCATAAAAGCGAGAACGCTACATAATTTGATTTTCCATGCCTAGTTTAGTGATCTTTTCGTGGGCTTTAGCGACTCATCAGTATACGCCATAAGCCAGACACAAATATTGGCAATATTGTAAATAAATTATTCATTAAATGTATCTCCTCTTACGTTTAAACATAAATTTCAGATTACGTAGGTCTTAAAACTACGGAAATCTGTTAGCTACTATCTCCAAGAAGAAAGAGACAACATTTTTCATATCACTTGAAAAATGTGGGAAGAACATAAAATATATCATTTCATTTTACAGCAAAAGTAACAGTTGACACCCATTTTGAACAAAAACTATTGGCTATCAATTGTCTGTCAATGAACATTTTAAAACATCAGTTTGGATATCAGTTTCCCTTTTTTTCCACTAAAATGACTTTGAAATCAACTGATTCCAAACTTTAGGGATGAACATTCTTCCGCGCAAAACGTTTGTTGAACATGGCGTGTCGATTGAGGCCGTAGAAATGGGAGATTAACGAGAAACAAATGCGATAATAATATTTTGAATTACGAACAGAGGATAACGGGAAAGGTTCTAAAACGACAAACGCAAGAAATGTGAGATAAAAAAAATTACCATCGTCGCAAACATGTAAAGACAAAAAATATCGGAATTGAATGATTATGGGTCGTAGTTATCAAAACGATATTGGACGTAGATGTAGATAGACTCGACGCGCTCATTACTGCGATGTGATAATTTTCAAGCGAGAAATTAAAACAAGAACATAATTTAACCTCATCTGAGCAAAAAAACCCGGCAATTCTCTATCGCGTGGTCTTTGCTCGATTTAATCATAATGTAAATTCATCTTAGAATGTCCTGCCTCGAAATACCATGATTCAAAGAAAAAAATTTACAAAGTGTTTACTTTCGCGGGCTTAGGCTAGCACGCGAACACACTATGTCGTTGCGGTCTTTTTGTTTTTGAATTTTAAAATTTCATAAAAAAACAAGCACGCACATAAAGATCTCACCTGCGCTAAGACGCCCCCCATATTTTTTTATAATTCTTTCGTTGTCCTTTCGTCGAGCATAGTTTTGCGGCATTGAGATAGTTAGGAGTGAATATTACGATTACTAACCGGCCGTAGTAGATGATGTAATAGTTTCTTTGATGCAAGTCATTTTGACACACTCGCAAACGTGGAAATTTTGGGTTGTTCAATAACCATGACTTATTCATACACCTCTTTAGGTTATAATAGCGAGTGAGTATTAGTGCATTATGTTCTTGGATTGTGACATGTCAATAAAACACATCGACCACACGAAGAAAGATGGTTTTCTTTGTGCAATATGCAGATGACTTTTGGCTAAAGTTTGCTTGTTTTTTCTGTCAAGTGCACGCCTCTAAGGACGCGAAATAAATTGCTTTTCGATCCACTTAAATTTCGGCTTACGTAAGGTTTTAGTACCTTATTTCATGATATATTTATGCTAACAATGCGACTGAGCGTTGAAAGTGATTCGGCGTAGTCTATTAAGTACAAACCGTTGTCTCTATCAGATGTCGATAAAATTCAGGTGAAGTGTTGAGTGAGTGATTCCTCTAATGTCCTTTAATAGCGCACCCCCTATGCGACTGTAACCTCTACTTAACTGAGCATTTCAAAGCCAAAAGTAAACAAATCTTAATCAATAAGGTAAACTAAGGAGAGCTTATTTAAAATTGCTACAAAATAGAATTTATCGCAAGCTTACAATGGTGCTAAAAGAAATCATGTTTTTGTTTACTACTTCAAACCCAGCAGAATAATAAATCCATCTTAATCATACGAACCTATGAGAGAGCTTTTCACAAACATGGTGTCGTTTAGGAATCAACTCCGAAGCTCTTAAGCCTTTACAGTTAAGAGGATATACTCATGGAATAGAATCCACAGTTAAACGCGTCGCAAAAGAGTGGATTGGCATTCGACTTGGAGGACGACGTTATTTGTTCGACACCCTACCTGCCCGTGGGCTCATAACTTATTGATTTTAAACTTGTTGCCTGGTGGCAATTCAGTTCATTGGATGCCATTAGCAGCTTAGAAACCCTTCCCTCTGTCTTAAGATTCGCCACTTCGAAATTAATCGTTATTGTTATGACGGAGCCAAAAATGTACACAGTTGTTTTGTTTCTTTCCATTTCCAGCAACGATCATAATTCAGAGCGCAAATGGTCTTGATGAAGCGAAATGTAGAAATCACCAAATTAATTTTATGAACAGAGGAACGCTGAGAACCTAGAAAATAAAAATTGAAAGACGCGTTGGAAAAACAGGAACGCCACACAAATCTTGTGAGAGAGCGGTACTTCTAAAGCTATTGAAAGTCACCACTACGGAAATTTTAAGCTTACGAATATCTGCCAAGCGGTCAATGATATTTTGTAACAATGACTGGAATGGATTTAAATAATATAAGGCAAAGAGGCTGAAATTAACTTGAATAACCTGAATAGCATGATGGTTTGTTTATTCCTTAAGGTCGTTTTAAATTAAAGCGCACAGAATAAAAATTACATAACACAAGACTTAAACGGTGAATGTGCTGGCAATTATTTATAGAAATTACATAACATCTGTTCAGTATTTCCTCACGTGGTTATCGGACAATTCCATGCGTTTCTTTATTCACGAGAACAAAATATATTCAGGATTTTGAAACTAGTCAATTGCTAAACTTTTAGCCATGGTAAATGTTTGAAAGTTTAAAAAATCCTTTTTTTTTTTAAAGTAGGGAAAAATAGTTCATCTAGGTTCGATGACATGATACATCGAAAGCTTTGGATAATTTGTTAGCACTTCCTGTCTGTTTTTTGTATAAATTGGTTAAAGCTTTGTATTGAAATCAATTATCTTCTTATTTCTCTTGTTTCCCGGAACCACAAGCAGATTATTGCTTACGTACTCTTCTGTATCTCCAGTAAGGCAACTTAAAAGCTTTTTCAGATCGACATTCGATTACTTTGCTTCTTTTAGCCAATCAAAATCAGTTTTGTCGGTTCCGTTTCATTACAAAAACCTGTTACTTGATTAATTGGTTGTAGATACGATAGCAACTGGAAGATCGTAAAAGCGTGGGGAAGGTCATTCAATTTAGCAAACTAAGTTAGAAAACTTCCCTGAAAATCTCTCCTGGACTATGCGACTTGTTTCGCGACCGATTTGTGGTTGAGTGCGGCCCACATCCTGTTGATTGTGGTTTCTCTGGCAGGCTATCTGACTGATATCTGCGGGTGCAAGCGACGGCGATTCTCGCCATTTGCGGTCTACATGCTTGTAACCGCACCATTGCAGGTGCGAGGCTTTAAATGCCTCTAGAAAATAGCATCACTAGAACAATGCAACCTTTCCCTGATAATAAACAGGATTGCATAAAGTAAAATAAAAAGAGGCAAGACAAAGAAGACATGGTTATATTATTTGTAACTAATCGAGGCTACAAAGAAATCAGTATAAGTATGTTTTCATTAAAGGCCAGAATCCGATAAATTAACTTAAAGAAAACGATAGTAATAATGACATGCATATAAAAGGAAAATAACCGTGACGACTGTACAGTAAAGAACACCACTAATATAACAGATATTAGATTTAAAAATTTCTTTCCCTTTCATGAACTTAGAAATTCGGATTGACAGGTGTGACAAGAGAAGCCGACTTTGAAATGCCAAGTTGTAGTCATCGTACCCTTACCTGTGGTGTCAACATTCTTAAAAATGATAAGAATGTCTGTTGTCATGGATATTAAAGATAGTGATGTCGATTGATAGTATATGAAAAGATGTTTTGATCCCCTCAGAGCTTTAATTGCGTCGAGGGTTTGTACACGTGGGAGCCAGCCGTCTTACTTGGATCCAGCGAAGAAGAAAAGGTGATGTTTCCATTGAAAATTTTGAGATCAAGTAAGTAGTGTGTGTTGGGAAACGTTGAAGTTACGATATAGAAACGAGGTCAGACGCTTTCACTCAAAAGTCCCTTTAGCAATTTGTTGATCAGTTTCGTTCTAGCTTCAATCTTTGGCGGAATCGGGGCATCTCAACAAGAAAGGAAAATGAGGATGAGGAAAGATATGAAATATAGTGCTGAACATGTGTACATGAACAACCTTCCAAACTGATTTATGTAATTTTAGTTTAAGAATCCCGTCATCTTGGTGTCAGCCTTGTGATAGAGTGACCGACTTCGACTTAGTAATCGAAAGGTTACTGGTCATAATTCTGCACTGGCATCGCAGAGGTCATGGGTTCGAATCCCGTACAGGCCTGAATTTTTTTAAGGTCTTAATTTCACTATTGCTTAAATAGTGCTGCTCACTGTGAAGATCGTTCTCATATGTGTGGTCATAATTCTTTCAGGTCATAACTTTCAGAGAGGAACTTTCTCGTTGGTTCTTATTGATGCCATTTCTTAAAATCTAATGGGTAATATTTTCCTTTGATAACTTAGCCAAGGAAACCTCTTGACGCATTTTGGATATGTTCTATACGAAAGTCGTAATAAACCTCTCTTTCAATACATTTAAATTGAAGTTTACCCGCTGCAAACGCAGATGACTCAGTCTCTAAGCTGATAAAATAGAAAATCGAAAAGTATATCTTATTCGCAACGAATAGTTAAAAAACGGTCAACATCAGAAAAATTCTTTTTCGGCGTTTGGCGTTCGCATAAGTTTGCTTCTAATTAATTTCTCTGATGACATCACTTAACTTGTATCCACGAGGAGGGATCCTTTGAGTAAAACAGCTTGCAATGTTATTGTTTAACTGTGAACGAGAAAAAAGCTCATTTTTTTCTAATAGTAATGCCACAGAACCGTACGTTTAAGAGACTTAAAAAAAAAACCTACCATCAATGAAAAAATTCCGAAAAAAGGAAAGAAACACCGAAAAAAGCTTGATTACCCAACATTCTTCCTGAAAACCGAAGCAACCAAAGAACGACACTCTCAACGAGATATGATTTAGTTAAACCAAGGTACATTTTGGATTGCTGAGGCATGATGTGGCATTAGGGAACAAGACCACTTATTTGAATAGCAAGGAGTCCAGTTCATTAAAGGTAAATTATCTTTCCAATAATAATGGGAACCGATTATGTGAGTTTCAAGGCAGAAGGAACTGCTCACAAGTTCTGTTAAAATTATAAATCTTATTTTACAAAATCGTGTAGGGTTTAAATCTTAAGAAAATTTGTCGAAATTCAAATGTCAAAAATAATCAACTGGTATGTTATGACACAACATACATGGATTAAATAACTCCCATGATCCGGCACAGCGTCAAATCTTTCTTATTCAAAAGTGATTTGAGTCTTACTTAGAACATTCCAGGTGGATAATGAAAACTTAAAAAAAAAAATCGTTCTAAATCGGCAGAAGATAGTAACAACATGTGAAGGAAAGGACTGCCTGTAACTGTCATTAAGCTTCCTTCCAAATGGTAACCCGTGCCTTAAATTGTATTTTCTACTTACCCTCCTATACTTCTGAAATTACTTGTAGAACAAATGTCGACAGGTGTTATAGTTGCAAATTTCATGAAAATTCAAATCAACCGGCGATATTACTTTGTGGTCGGCGCTTGTAAATAACTGACACTAGGTGAATACCAAAGCTTATCAACGTATGGATACGTAGAAAATCAATAATTGTATCAGCAAACTAATGGCGTTGTAACCAGCGAATGTCGTTCTTTGTCGTAAGGAGTTTTGGATACCCACATCCTGGAGAGACTAATAAATGTTTAATCAACAAAATGATCAGACCCATGCAACATACAACGACAGCAAAATCCGTATTCCAAATGGGAAATTGTTACACTTTGCTTTGATTGAAGATCCGATTTCCGATGAGATGGAAGCCAATTCCAAGTTACTTCGTAAATTAGAAAAATTGGAGTTCCTGTGCAATCAAGAGGAGAGAAGCACCAATTTTCGGCCCTCTTGTAAAGCGAGATTTTATTGGCCGAAGAACTTTGTCTATAAGGTAGAGAGCTCTTTTGTTAACCGCAAATAATTTCATGAGTCAACACCTTGTGATGAAATCTATTTTAGCGGGTACGGGGTAATCCAAATATGAATTAAAAACTGCCTTGATATTCATTTCCTCGAATGCGAACAAAAGGAAGCACGGCCTTTGGTTCGAGAGAAAATTACGGAAGTAATTCAGTGTAGTTTGGCTGGTTTTGAAGGAATCCTTTCAGGTAAGAGTTTGGAGAATGTTTCTTCTCATACCTGGTTAGAAATGAACCCCAAATTGTAAAAAAGAAATTATCGTGATATCAAACCAAAGTTGATGTTATTCACAAACATATTCGCTTCCCTCAAGCTTTTACTCAATAAAGGGATAGGCGCCGGTAGAAATGACCTGGAAAAGACAGTTTTAGCATTAAAAATACTGTTTCTCATAATTGCCACATTTCAGAACTTGAAGATTTAGCTGTGACAAACGTTTTTTTCAAATGATTTCAACGCTGATTACCCACTCGCCTCTGAGTCATAGAATGGCTGGGATTTGCTTATTTACGAGAAGTTATTCTATTCCTTCAACCTATCCCTTGTACCTGATAAGCAAGATTCTGAAGACTGTAAAACGCTTTTTGCGCCTCATATCGGTAACTCCTTTGGTTACCTCTATTAATCATCAGACACGACAGATAGCATGGGGCAAACCTGATTTAAAAGTTTTTTTCCCCTCGCAAGCTTAATTGCGTTAATCAACCACTAATCGGTATCTATCACCGATTAACATGGTTTGGTCTTGAAAGTTTCTTTTTCTATCGCAGGTAACCTAACCGCGTTTTAATCAATTTTAACCTATCAGGGTAGGCGTCATTAATTTTGGAAAATTAATCAACCTGCAAAAACAAAACGTCTAAACAGAACAATTCTATTGGTTAAATGACCCCTCCTTCTACAAACAATGACAATTGAGACGAAGTATGTGTATATATATAATGCTTTTTTGTTAAAAAAAAGTTGTTTCATGGTTGATTTTGCCGAACGTCTTATTTTGGTGGTAGGTTATTCTGCTTTCAAATATATATATATGTCTTTTTCATTTCCTTCGGATCGAAAAAACCTCACATTCTTTCATATTTTTTCCAAACTAAAGAAACTTCATTGGAATAGCTCATTTTTCTATTCCCGTGGGAAAATCTTTAGAAGCCTATTAGTGCGTATTAAGATAGGGAGGAATGAATTACGATATCATGGTGAGCCTAATCTATGCAAAGTGGCATTCCTCTCATTGCAATAACATCATTAAAGTCTGCACAACTGCCCTAGACGAAGACGCTTAAAATAAAACTTCAATGCTAAAATGCTAAAATGCTAAAATCTAAATTCTAAATAAATGTCTTTAGGTTATTAGAATAAATATAAAAATCAGAGATTGTCAAACGTATCTACATGCATTTCGAAGCTGTTGTCGCCATTATTCTTTAATGGCCGTATAACAAAACCTGATGTTTGTTATTTATACATCAAGTTTTAAATCACCGACGATCCTTAACTGGCGATCCTTGATTGGCTCTCTTGGGCACGAGTTATTCACGAATCGCATCATCTTTTTTGTTATAAATCGAATCCTTTTCCCAGCCAATGAGAATTTTTGCTAAAATGCAACCAATCAGATTTCAAGGAATTTTTAAAGTAACTTTGACAAATTTTTACGGTAATGGGTAAATAACATATTTTTAGAGACAAAAAAAATTCGCCGATTTGAGTTACTGAATTTTGGCGTGAATAACTTGGTAATTGAACTTCGCGTCGCGCAGTTTTAATCTGATACCTGTGATTCCAAATCAAATTCTCGTGGGGCATTCGATCACGCGTTTGATTTAAGACCAAACTACGCTCCACTCAGTTCAATTACCACCATTTATCGAAAGAATTCTTTCAAACTCCACAATATTCAAAGTCTGTTTACTTTTCATTTCCTGGGTCGGTCAGCCATAATTTTTTCTTTAAGGCATCTTAAAACATCTTTTAAGTGGAGGAGAACACCTGGGGGAAAAATATCCAAAAAGTTGTACGAATAGCAGAATTCAAAATGCCCAACCTATGGTAGGAAAAAAATTTTTTGCAAAAATCTTGCCGCCCAGGTGTTATGGATCTATTTATACTAGAAACAAATTTTTGTGATACGGTGAATAACTGAAACCTAATTCTATATACTTTTGTGTAACTGCCCCGGTGTTCTTCGATTTGCGTATTTTCTCGAATTAGTGTGATGATGTATAATTTTAGGTTTCATAATTTGCTTAAACAGTGCTTGACAGCTCGTGACAGAAACTTTCAACCCTCTGCACCCTAAGATGGGTATCCATATTCTACCCTACTGTTCTCTAGACATTTTCTATGATGCTGGAGATTATTTACCTATCAGGAGCCTCTGACCTAAATGTCTTATTCAGCTTTGGTACTGTTCGGAGAAATTATACGCCAATCATTCTTAGACGTTAAAAGGGTAATGCTGTCAAAGCGAAGTTTGTCGCATTGTGTGTGTGTTTTTTTTTTGTTAAAGCTACGTCGTTCATTGAAATAATCTGCTCTTAGGTAACCATAGTAACAGTGGCCACTTCAAGGTGTTTTCTTCGGCTTTTCGGAGGTGACACTACTTGGTCAACGGCCTCCGGTCTCTCCGATCAGCGCCACAGGTGGTAGTAGTAATGTAGAAAAAGTAGTAATTCAAGCATGATTGAAAAAATAACAAAGGAGCTGATGTGACCATGTTAGAGGGAACTTTTAAAAGTTACAAGTTACCATACATTTTCTCACTTTAAAAGCCAAACCTAAAACAATTTTCTTGAAGATAATTGCGTTGGAATCGAAAGTTGAAAACGCTTTTGATATAATTCATCCTTTCAGTTATGTGCTGGACATCTCTGTTGTTTGCATATCCAGAAAGGTCCTGAAAGTTTAGACATATGGACAGTTGATTTTTCTAGACGATGCTGTATCTTCGGAAGTCAGTTTTGTGTGATGAATATATTTTAAGACATACTTTAAGTGTACGAGGTAGTTGGTTTAAAACATTTCATGGGCTAAACGAGCTTAAAAAGGATCTTTTAGAGCTGTTTGATAAAGAACCATGAGAGTAACGGCACTCAGAAACAAATCACAAATTAGCAGATTTCATCCTCGAGATTTTTTTAAAACACTGTTGTTCTTCGAAGTAGAGATTTCCCAAGGAAAAACTTGTCAAGTTGTACAAACTTCTTCAAAAAGCGTTATATTCCATTTCAGAACATTTCAATTGACAGTGTTATTTCGCGTCCAACTATACTTCCACATTGCATATTTCATTCTAGATATATTATCATATTTTTTTAAACATTAATTGAAAATATTATTGGAATCACTCGTAAAAACACCTCTAGAACAACTGGAGCATGTAACTCCAAAGAACCAGACTGCAACTGTAATTATAACTATAAAAGCAGTTAAGATACCGAGTGGTCGAAATTGTACTTTTTGTCGTTCGAAAAAATGATGTAATGGTTGAAAGAAGGCCGGACTATTTGCAGTTAGGCAATATTTATAAAAAAATCGCGACTAATATTCTAATTCACTGGCACATTGATGCTAAGAAAAGCATTTTTTCTCTACTGGAAAAATTAGTTATAACGCATTTTTTTAAATGAAGTAAAGGCATTGGTTAACTGCGACTTGTCAGATATTGGCGAATATTGCTTTTAGTAAACAAATATATTTTCTATTAAATCATGAAATTGGTATGGACAGAGAAAGTGTAGAAAATTAAAGTGAGCATTTTTTTAAATTTTTACCTAATCTGTTTTGATGTATTGCATGAAAGCGAGAGAATATCATGAGAAGACAACAGCTTCATCTATCATTTTCAGTTTCTGGGCAGCTGGCTGTATGTTACATGTGCGGCTAAATTAACGATTTCTGAAATGCACGCAAGGAGTGTGTTCTACCGTCACTTCCGATGACAAAGTTAGATAAATACAACAAGTTTGGTAAATACAACTGAGTTAAACTACTTAAAAACAGTACTTACAATGGACCGTCCATACATGTACCTGAGCGCTTTAGAGGACACCAAAGTATTCAAGATGGTTTCTTGTAATTTGAGCTTCTCATTTTGCAATGATGAATTGAGAAATGCAACAGAAGTTGAAGCTGGGCCTAAAATCGTGAGAACATGTACGAAATCAACAAATAGTTTACTTCACACACGAAAATTTAGGCATAAAAGACAAACACCATCGCCGACAGAATGCAACGTATTGGAAGAAACTCGCATCAATTACATTTCAAAACGGTATACACATTCATGTCAATCAAAAGTTTGAAATAGATTCCGTTTTTACGCGTATCTTCGTAGTTGATTGGTTAAGAGTTAAAAGTCATTGTGGAGTATTAAATTAATATTTATGTGAACCTCCAGGGCAGTGTATAAATGATTTAGATAAGGCGGGCGGATTGAGTTCCTTGAATAAGAAAGTTTTTTTTTCATATTGTTGAGAAGGCAAAAGCATTGAAAAAAACCCTTGCCCATTTTAAAAAGCTTTGTCTTTTGCTTCGAAAATGGAAAAATACAAATGGAAAATCTGTTTGATCTCAGCTGAAACACTTGTCAATCCGAAGAAGCATTGAAGCTAGCTATTCCTAAAATTAAACGATTAATGAATAAGCTTTCTTCTCTGTCTGGGGTAAATTTTCACGTGACAGAATGTCACCAAGGATATACTTTCTCTTAAATAAATTTTAGCTGACATAAAAATTGTTTGCTTTCGTTAAAATTCGACTTTTTTGAGCTTCAAGGAAGCAACTCACTTGTGCCCTACTCCCACGACGTTAAGTATCTGTAAAATTGAAAAAACTTGCGAGAACTCCAGGAAGCATTTTAGGGAGTCTAGTGACTCGGTGTATTTTAGAAAACATGTTGCTGATTAATGAACCATCATGCTGAGAGCAAATACCATATCAAACAGTTTTGAGCTGTAAATCGCTCTCCTTTTTGTCTCTCGTCTTCATCGCGTTTTGCTCGAGGAGCAATACATTTTAAAAAAAATATTTTAAGCACGAAAATTTTCTTACCGCTTATATATCTAAAACGTAATGTGAACTTCTTTTGCCTTTTTTTGATTTAAATGCTTAAAACAAAGTTGTGTTTAGTAACTGGTGATAACTTAGAGTGTCGGAATCGGTGATCTTTGCAAATAAATCCTGATCCATCCAAGCAAACGATTAATAACAATAACACTATACAGAGGAAGTTAATAACCTCCGTATCACCTGCTCAACCAACTATAAAGCTGCATTCATTAAGTGAAACTACAAATTTCAAAGAGGCCGACCGCTCCTCCTTCTCTAGCAAGTGTTTAAATTTTTGTGATAAACTTGGATCATCTAAGTCAAGGGCACCGAAGAACACCATAATTTACGGTAAATACGCAGCTTATGCGATGCGAAAGCAATCTTTTAGGGTTACAGATCGGCAGTTATTTGGAATTCACATCCAGTTATGCCTATTAAATATTCTGTGAGATTTCAGATAAACCCAAAGTTTGCTTATCTCTTGAATAAAATCGTGCGTGAGCTCTGACACTTTGTAAAGCAAATGAATAATACCTCTGTTTCAAAACACTATTTAAAATCTTTTAATAATTTTGTTAGTGTAGATTGGATTCTGCTCATACTGCGATTGGTTATGAATCATATGACAACGTAAGAGTATTAAATCACGTGTTGTTTCTTTTGTTGGTCGGACTTAATCATAGGGGCACCTAAAGTGATAAGATAGATTTCTCTTCCCACAGAATACCTAACGAAATTACACTTCTCCAAATTTCTCATTTCTCGTATTTTCTAAATTTCTTGTTGTTACAACATAATTAATGGCTTGGGGTCGCCGGAATTCTTACATCAGGGTTTAAAAGGGGTTTGTCAGCATGCAGTAAAAGAAATGAGTTGCGATATAAAACAGTTGACGTTTTATTTGCTCGCTTGAAAGAAATCTAAATTAAAACCGAACCCAAAACTTACGAAAGAAAAAAACAGGGGTGGGGGGTTTGTGGGTGAGGGAAGGAAGTGCTGTCAAGATGCATTCTACGAAATAAGTTGGCACAGTATTGCAAAAGTTCTTTTCTGTTATCTCTTGAGCTGGAAAACTATCTAACTTGTGTTCCTTATAACGCAGTGAACTAAATTGCATGTTACTCAAGTCGGGTATTAATTTACATCTTTAATTAAGTTTAACAGTGCTTTGCTCATAAAAGCCCATTTATAATCAGTTGATAACTGAGGTTTTTTTAGCGTGGAAACCATCACGCAAGTCACAAAAGGTCATCGCGACGAACGCCATGAGTCAAATCAACTTATGGAATCAAAAGATCTTGACGTGAAATTGGATAAGATTTTCTACTCTATCGGTATTAAAACAACAATCAGTTCGTAAGGATAGAGCAAGTTTAGATGGCGTGGTTAGATCCATTGAAATAAATAAAATTAATTGTTTCTTTCCTTTGGCACAAGATGTATATCTTTTGAATTTTTCTCTGTCAGAAAACGTCCAGTTCATGATTTCATCGTTTTTTTACCCGTTGCCATAACCGAGATATTTGAAATAAATCAGCCAACTCTGAAAATTGCCTCTTTTGCCAGTTGAAAATTTTTTGACACTAAATTATTATTCAAGGTCAATATATTTTACGTACAAATAGTCATTGACCTGAGAAGAAAGGAAAGGCGGAATAAATTCGGGGTTTTAGATTGTTGATGATGCATGGAAATCTGATTGCCTGTAATTCCTTCCTTAAAATTTACGTGTAGATATGCATAATTCGCTTCGGTCAATGAAGAGAATTGGTGCTATCATTGTCAATACAACTGACGGGTTTTAAGCAAACATGTGGCAGACAGAGTGTAGGACTAACACAAGACCTCAAGATTTATGGATAATTTTTTGCCTTAGATAAACGCACTTGAAAGGCCAGGACGTTACACATTTTAGTTGTAGAAGTTTCCATGAGTAGAGACCCAGTTGAGTGCAGTGCCCGCGGGGGCAATATGGAGTGAATCCAGCGTTCTGATTGGCTACCCGAGTGGGCATGCTGTGTCAAGCTTGCCCGGTTTGATCCCGGGCATGGAAAACATTGCGTGGAGCGGGCTTAAAAAGTTCGTAGTTTTTGCAGAATGTCAGCGATGGAGTCGCGAAAAGCGACAGAGGACGGTTGAAACAAAGAAACGTAAACGACTCTCGTGGGTCTGTTTTGCTACAAACACAGTTGACTTTCTTTCCCTGCTCTCGAAGTAAGCAAGTCATTCTTGATTCTTAATAAAGCGAGGTCTTTTTACCAAATAATAAATTCTTTATTGACCAAGCTTGTTCGGTCAAGATGGCTGAATATAAGCCCCGTTTTTTTTTGCGTTTTTATGAAACTCAAATTTGTCTCGGTCCATAAAAAAAGTGAAAAAGAAAGTTAGCCAATATCCAACCATCTTGACCGCATGTTTGATCAATGACGCATATTTATTGTCCTCCGACGTATGAATGCACCATTAGAATTGGGCAAAACGTTATTTGTGAAGTTTTTTCAGTGATTGACGCGGATTAGCGAGGTTAATTGGCGCGTATGGCATACATATTGTGCCGAACTCAGCTTATCACCATTTAGAGGTCATTAGAGCTAAAATTTTCTAAGGAATTTTCCTTCATCCTGACCCAATAGAGTCTTCAATATGATTATTGCCAATTAAAAGGAATCTTGCGAGACATATGAGCTTTTCATGTCTCCAGTATATGCTGATATTTGATTTTAACAATTATTTTTATTTATGATTGAGTTGATTGCCGATAAGACACATGGATAAAAGCGAATGATCTCTAATGGCTTCAATCATTTACAAACAAGCTCTATTTTGAACATTAGCACGACTCATCCGAACGAACACCTCGTATGAGGCTCAAGAAGGAGGAAAGTGATTCTAAGATAGAGAGGGTACATCACATTCGCAGACGTGCATGTAGGGTGTTGAGCGAAGCGAGCGAGTGAGAGATATCATCAACCTGTGCATATAAATTCGTATTCACACGCTGACATGTATTGTTCTCTTTTTCATAGCACATTAGTAAAATAGCAAATAGTAATTTACATAACCTTAAACCAAAGGCAGTTCAAAAGAACTTATGTACGTAAGCTTGGCCAAAATCAACTTCCCCGAGGCTTCTCTTTTCTCAAACTAGGTAATGTTGGTAAAGTTAAAAAGCCCCTCATGAAAGCCCAGATACTACTTCGACATCATTATCTTCATATGGGAAAGATGTGAATGGCATATTCATTTCGTGAGTTAAAGATATATTGTGTCTGACACAAGAGAAAATCTGCCATTTCATTTATACCCATCGATGACGAAGAGTTATGGCTTTAAACCTATTACATTTTTCCTCAAACGCTCTTAACATCTTCGAGAGACTAACATTTAAAAGTTGAGTGCTTCATCCTTTTTTTTTTTGCGAAATTACTCTGAAATATGTCAGGAATCTGCTGAGATCAATTGAAATAGCTGATTTATTACACCCTCCTGCTGTTTTGATTAATTGATTTAGGTATTGAACACGGCCGTACATCGGTTTTGATTTCAACACAGCCATTTGTAAAATGATGTATCCTTATTTCCCGCTGTTTTCAAAGATTCCAAAACAAAGATCAGTAATTCAATAAGATCTTAAATAATATATGGCGCGTCTGCAATGTATTTAACCAACATTTTTGATTTCTTCGATGTTCTGATTCCCCTTTATAATAGTGCTACATGTGTTTCCATTTATCCTTGGCCATTGTTTTTCAAAAAACATCTTATTTTACAAAATGCAAGGTTAATGCTCCGTACTAAACATACGTTAATCAACCACTGAACTGTCGCGATTTAACTCCCGATAAACGCAATTGAACATACATCAATTTGTCGTCATTCTCGCATATTCAAAACGCTTCAACATGATGACAAAAATTTACCCAATTTACCTTGATTTCCTGATCTTTACGGAACACTTCACGAGCCACCAGCGCAGTTAAGCAGGGTTGCTAAAGTTTCCTTCGTTTTCGAAATATCGTGCCCTGGAGTATTACGATAGCATTTGTTTACAAAACTATGAAATCTTTCCTATCAGTCATCTGATTCAAGAGCCAATTTTAGCAGAAATTTCCACCATTCTCACAACAATTATAACGGTACAGTTTTTAAAACCAGATTTTGAAGTTATAAAACTTTAAACTCCAATGATGGTTATTGAATATTTCTTGATCTCCTGTCACGTTTGCTCAATAATGTAGCTCAATTCTCTCCAGGCTACCAACTATAATAAAGAAATCGAAATTCATAATTTGAGCATGGCGACCTCTCCCGGTTTAGTTTCCGCAATTCTAGGATACTCTTTTGAATTTTGTTTTGTCTAGAGTGTGGGGAACGCATCTCATTATTTTCTTAGACCCGTGAAATAGATTAGAATAACACTTTTCGAAACGAAATTCTGGATTATTAATGCGGGGCTTTCGCAAAAGAGGAAACAGGAAGTCTCTATAGGACAAATGCGACGAATCGATCTTAATTGTACTGGAAAACTTAATAGACAGATCTTTATTCTGAAACTAAAAATACGTCATTACTCATCGATCAAACTAGTCAGATATCAATAAAAATAACCTTATGTACAGTATACCCGCGAAAAAGAGGATGATCGTGTTGTAATTTGGATAATTGAAATAGAGCGAACCCGCCGTAAAAAAACAAACAAACAAAAAAACAACAGAAAAAAATCTTTCTTTCTCAGTTTCCCTAGAAAGTTTCCTAAACAATCAAATACATTTTTGGATTTCCGAACTTGGCATCCGTTCCTCGGCCTCCTTAAAAAGAAAAAAAACTTGGACCAACGAGTAATTCATCGAGACTCTTAGGAATCATTGAAGAAAAAATGGTGGCGGAAAGTCTATACGGATACATGTAAATGCTGTTTTCGTAAGCCATTGACTTCAATTGTAAATGCAGTACATGAGTTGGTTTACTAACTCATTGTAAACAACAGGTGAACAGAAAGCTATACATCAGATACAAGGAATATATGAAGTCCATATATTTGAACTGCGGTATTAAATACGTATGATGCACGATCCTTCGCAGTAGATAGCGCTATTTATGCAATAGCGAAAATCAGACCTGAAAAAAATCAGGCCTGTACGGAATTCGAACGACTGACTTCTGCGATACTAGTGCAGCGCTCTACCAATTGAGCTAACAAGCCAACTGGGAGCAGGCCGTTAAGTTGATTCGTAATAAATTACTTAAATAACGCTATAAATTGCTTAAATAACGCTTAAATAACGCTTAAATAACGCT